TGTAGCGCTACCTTTCTTTCTGCGGGAAAATGAGCTATTAAGAGATTCGTAGTTTGATTCTACCAGAAAACGACGACACATACTACATGGTCTCTTGCAGATATGAAGATCAAAATGGTGTGGGGACCCTCAGTTTGGACGTAGTCTACTTTCGATATTCAGAATTGGGTTGACCTCTTTTTCGCAACTTGGTCTTGTTGTCAGGGCGATTAAGTTAAATGCGCATTGCCCGAAATCCTCTCTTATAGTCGTTATCACAATTCCCAGCGTCAGACCGTGAATTTGTTACACTCCCAGACGTTCGCTGGCATCGTCAGGGAGTCTTGCTAGTTTCAGCACCTAGTTACAACTCGTCAAAGAGCCAATTTAAGCCAATACCAAGTCCACGGTCTGACGCTGCGAATTATGATAACTACTATAGCAGAGGATTTCGGCCAATGTGCATTTAATTAAGTCGCCCTGACAACAAGACCAAGTTGCGAAAACGAGGTCAACCCACTTCTAGGTCTTTTGCAGTTTGATTAGACTTGGAAGTCCAGGGTAATACAACCCCAGATAAAAGCGGGATGAGCCTTTATTTTTCATTTGACAGACTTCATCAGATATCAACACAAAGTCAATACGACAATTAAACTCACTTTACAATTTTGTCAGGTACCAAAATTATTGAAATGGGTTGAACTCGTTGTCGCAACTTGGTCCTGTAGTCAGGGGGACTTAGTAGAACGCACATAGTCCGAAATAGTCTGCCATAGTAGTTGTCATGATTCCCAGCATCAAACAGTGGACTTGGTACCTCATCAGTGAGTTTTGCCATTCGCCGTACCAAGCTACCAAGTCCACTGTCTGATGCTGGGAATCATGACAACTACTATGGCAGACGACCTTGGACTAGGTGCGTTCTACTAAGTCGCACTGACAACAAGACCAAGTTGCCACAACTAGATCAACCCATTTCTATAAATCGAAAGGAGACTGCGACCATACCAGAGGCCACAACATCTTGGTCTTCATACCAAAATTATTGTTTAGTTTATTCGCAAGTTCGTCTCAGTGTGTGTCGTTCGAGAGTGTGCGTGTGTGAGAATTTGTATGTGCGCCAGCGTGTGTGGGTGGTTGAGAGTGTATATTGGAAATCACCAGTTTGGCTCAAGGATATTTTTTATCCAAGAAAACGCTTCACTACGATTTTCCAGTCAGATGAGTTGCTGTAATTTTAAATGCATAAAATGCTACTTCAATATGGACCATAAACAAAGAGACCGACTGCGTCGCCTTTTTGTTAAAACTGGTTCAACCTTTGAGTCAAATACAAGTAGTTCTTTTAATGACATCCAACGTAAATAAGAACTTGGTCATCTTAGGTTGTTCAAGGAGATTTGATGACTATAAGTGAAATTCTTCCCACAAGGAAATGGGTAGACTTCATGATGTCATTTAATATAAAAATGAGTTTTCTCCTATCGGACCTCGTTCCATCTTACCACTTTACACCCACTAGTGATTTCAAATAGCATTAAGGGTATAGATGAGACGTTGAGACGAGGCCGAAACTGCAGTTCAGTCTGAATAAGAAGACCTCATGAGAAGCAAGTCTAATTGAGATTCACTGGCACTGCGAGGTCTGGTTATATCAGTCTAGGTAAAATTTCATTATCAGTCTTTAGCTCATCTCAAGCGAATTATAATGACCAAATTTGTACGCTAGACTTGATGATAATTTAGAAGAACACCTAAATCTAATATTTCATTGTTATTATATTAACAAAAAAAGGTTCTTTTGTTTATCTTCTATTTTGCCTATTCAGATGTACAAGATGACTATCAAAGCGATCCGATTGAGGCCATCCTCTCATGCCCTGTTTATGTCGTAAGCCCATCTATCTCCAACTGCTAGACCATACAGCCTTTACATGCATTGCTATATTTTTCTAACCTGTAGTAAATGGAGTGACTCCTCTCTACATCCCAAGAGTGGTCTATTGTGCTGCTGCCCAGTTCGTCTCTAAAGATGTGTTTGTCTGAGGAAATTGTCAAGCTTTCCTTGAGTCGTTGTAGGCTTGAAGCTATTGTTTCAATTCAGATGATGCCAGTCAACCAGATCCGAAGGGAGGCGTGTCTGGAACTGCGCCAGGATGAAGGTAGCATAAAAATGAAACTATAGTAGATTGCAAGGAAGAGGCTATAATTTTCTGGTGACTTGTGTCGATGCAACTTGGCATCACACTTGTTCGCATCAAATAAAAGTCAGCTCAACACATATGTGTGTTAACAACAAATGGATAGGAAACTCGTCATTCTTCTGGTGGAAGGGTCGGACCTTGCGTGCATACTCAGCATGAGTGTTATATTTCGTTACACTAAAGCAAATAGTTGCTTCTGGATTGTGAATACTGGGTGAAGATGCGAAATTACCGGTAGGCTGCTCCACAGTGCTGTCTTGAAAAGCTTGCATCCAGTCAGAGTGCATTACCAAATGGGGGTAAGAGAGCTGAAGAAAAATCAGATAAGTTTTATTAGGTGCACTGAGCAGAGTATCCTAGTCGCTGAGCGTAATTAAGAGAGAAAGTATTTGTCTGTTAAACTGCGATTTTCTATAGGAACTGATATTTTTTCCGTTTTCTAGGCGAGTCCCTTGATCGAGCCAGGAGTGTGAAATAGACGAGGAAGAGGAGTTACAGGTCAAATGAAATTTACCTTGAAGTGAGGGGGTTCCTCAAATAGAATGCATTCGGAATTCTCTTTTGGCCACTAATAGTAGAAACTTGAGAGTAGTGCAACTTTTTATTATTTAAGCCAATTTTCTTGACCTTCAACCGATACTCTGCTCAACAGGCCTCTTAGTTCGCACTTTGCCTGCGTTTCTATCCTCTTGGGTCTGCATATACGACACTGTCTACTGGCTCAGTCGAGTTGTAGACAGGCAGTCTCGAAGTGTCATACACCGAAACCTGATTGCCTCTGATTCGCTTTCCAGTCTCTACGTGCTGCATCTGCCGTTGCCAGGTTACTGAGCCTCCAGAGTATGGAAACAGAGATAGAGTATTTCTAGGTTGATCCGTTGTAGGCAGCCAAGCATCCGACGTTTGGTGCTATACCACTGTAATATGTGTTTTGGCCAGCAGCATCTGAAGCCGGACGTCCGTTATTTTCGCCTCTTCTTTTTCCTCTAATCCGTCTTCCCGGCGGCCGGAGATGTGTCTTCTGCCCGAATTTTTACCCGGCACAGACTGGCCATTGGGTCTGCTGTTGTTGCCGTTGCTCATCTGCCTGCCGATACTGTTGCTACTGGCCGGCGGTAGGCAGGTCGTTCTGAGGCGGGCGTGGCAGCGGCGTCTGGCCGTGAAACACGCCGACCTGGCGCGTCAACAGTTGCGTGTTCGAGCTCGACTGGCCGAATTGGGCATTCCAATGAACCGGCCGCATCCGCTGGTGCAGGGCTGCACCTTGAGCGAGTTGCGACGTCGGTTGGCCGAGCGGAGTCTGCGGCCTCGGGACCTGCTGTACGCCAGTCAGGCGCAGTGTCTCTACGCTCTGGACCACTTGGGCATCGGAGGCCTGGCCGAGTTTATCTGCGAGGCCGAGGAGTGGGCAGAGCAACTGGAGACCTGGACGGATGAGCGGATCCGGGCGTCGCCGC